AAGTAGGACAATCCTAATTTACAAAAAATAAAATAGTTAACATACTTATTTTACACTAAATATAACTTATAATAAATGTAAGTATAAATATATTATTGTATATTCACACAACAAAAGGTCCAATTTAACTATAATTATTTATTAGCAAAACTCAGAACATCACAATACAGAATCTGACCCACGCCATTACCCCACATATTATTCCCAATACCCCCAACCACAGAACCTCAATTGCTAGTACCCTTCTAGGCACTGTCAATTGTCAGGATCCTGTTAAGGTGCATTCACAACGTAGCATATATTACACTTCTTCCCACTTAGTTTTTTCCAAGATCCCAGCCACGGTTACAAATCCAACCTGTCAGGAGCCTTACTAACTCTTTGAAATTTACGAACCAATGATGGAGATGTCTTTGAATACTTGGGGGAGGAAACCCTGACATTTTTAGCAAGAGATTTAGGTATAGGTGTAATAGGATTAACAGAACTCTTTGGGTCTACTACTTCAACTGAGGGGGGAACCTCATTATATTTTAAACCTTGATTCTCTATAGATTTCTGCTAATGAAGGTTTTCACTACTACTCTCAGGCCTATCGGACTTTTGGAAGTTTTCTACCGCCGACTTATCTGTTTTATCTGATCCATCTACGGAAACATCTATTTCTGGAAATTGTTGAAAAGTTGGTTTCAAATAATCCGCGTGAAAATACCGAACTCTTCCTTCTGAGGTCATAACTAAGTGAGAATTTATACCAACTGCTGTTAAAACTTTAGCTGTAACCCACTTCTTCAGCTGTGTCATATATAGCATCACTGACTGATTCACTAAATACATTATATTTTCACGTCTTCCCTTGTTTTGTCTCTGGGCTACGACTTGTTCTCTTTTCCTTTCTACCTTCCCTTTTAAATATTTTGGATGAAACATGTTTAGTTTAGTTCGGGGAACTTGTTTAAATAGCAGTTCGGCCGGTGACTTCATTGTGACGGTACTTGGAGTGTTCCTGTAATTAAACAAGAAATTATCCAACTTATGCTCAATTGAATCGCATTTCTCATACAAATTTCGGTTGAAAATATCATTTTCCATAGCTTTTTTAATGTTCAATACTGACAATTCATCCTGTAAAAATACTTTTTTCAAAGATTTTTTTGCTGTCGAAACGCATTTCTCTGCACTGCCATTAGATTCTGGGTGATACGGTGGTGTGTTAATTACATGTATTCCATTGGATCTACAGAACTGATGAAATTTCTCACTGTTAAAAGGGGGTCCATTGTCTGCCACCAAAACTTCAGGTAGACCGAATCTACTAAAAACTTCACGAAGTCTTACAATTGTCTTTAGAGCATTTGTTCCATTCATTCGAAAAATCTCTAACCATTTTGACGTGGTATCTATCACCAAAAAGAATTTGTAGCCTTCCAAATCAAAAAAATCAACATGAATTCTCGAAAAGTTTCTCTCACTTTTTTCCCAAGCTGATATGCTGACATTTTTTTCACGGTTACTCAATATTTGGCATGCTTGACATTGACTAACAAATTGCTCAATATGGTCGTTGATATTTGACCACCAAAAATCGCTTCTAGCTCTCAGTTTCATCTTACAATTCCGAAGTGACTTTCATGTAAAATTTCCAACAGTGCACCTCTTAAGGATTCTAGTATTACAACTCGATTTCCCCAAGTTAGGCAATCACATTCTACACTCAGCTCATTTCTTCTTTGAAAATAGGGCTTCAATTTTTCATTGTTGCAGTAAGACCACCCATGTTTAATGTTTTCAATGACTTCACTCACACATTTGTCTTTCTTTGTCTCTTCACAAATCAGCTCTGCCGTAATAGGCAGGTTATCTTCATATGTGAAAGCAAAAACTTGTTCCTCTACCTTACTTTCTTCGAACATCTCAGAAAGCGGCAATCTCGAAAGACAATCAACATTTGACATCTCACTAGCTTTTTTGTATCTAATCTCATAGTTATATGCCGATAATGTCACCGCCCATCGCTGAATTCTAGCATGAGCTAAAGTAGGCAACCCCTGATTTTCTCCAAAAATTGTTTTTATTGGCTGGTGATCCGACAAAATGGTGAACTTTCTTCCATACAAAAACTTGTGAAATTTGCGAACTGCAAACACGACTGCATACGCTTCTCTCTGTACTTGAGCATAATTTCTTCCTGATGGATTGGCTTACAAACACCGTCTTCTACCAAGCTTAAAATTGCTCCCAACCCATATGGACTTGCATCTGCAGCCACTATAAGTTCCCTATTAGGGTCGTAGTGTGTTAGTAACACAGTTCCTAATCATGCCTTTACATTTTTCAAATGCTGCCTGTTGAGACTTTCCCCATTTAAAAGGTTGGCTTTTCCTTAGTAGGTCATTCAGTGGACTTAAGATATCTGAACAATGAGGTCAAAATTTAGAATAAAAATGCAACAACCCAAGAAAACTTTTAAGCTGAGTTAAGTTAGTGGGGACAGGCGCATCCATAATTTCTTTTACTTTTGATTTTAATGGTTTTATACCTTCTTTACTCAAAGTGTGTCCTAAAAATTCAATTTCTGACTGAAAAAATATACTTTTGTCGCAATTTAATTTGATATTATGTTTGTCAACGCATTGTAATACCAGTTCAACATTCTTAATACATTCTTCTAAATTTCTTCCTGAAATTACACAATCATCTAAATAGACACCCACAAATTCCAACCCTTTCAAAATTTGTTCCATCGTTGACTGAAATATAGCTGGACTACTTGAGATACCATAAGGTAATCTAGTGTATTGAAATAATCCAATGTGAGTATTAATTGTTAATAACTCTTGACTTTGTTTGCTAACTGACAATTGTAAATAAGCATTGGATAAATCTAACACACTAAACATAACTCCACCTGATACTGAGAAAAACAAATCATCCAGAGTTGGAAGAGGGTAGTGATCCATTTTTAAAATTGGGTTAACAGTTTTTTTTAAATCCCCACAAATTCTGATAGTATTGTTTTTCTTTGGCACTACCACTATAGGACTAGCTATATCTGCATGACTAACAGGAATTAGAATACCTTCTGACACTAAACTTTCAAGTTCAACTTTTACTTTTTCTCTTAATGAATAAGGTACGGAATAAGCTTTATGAAAAATCTTATTTGCATTTTCTTTGACTACTAAATTAGCTTCAAAACCTTTAATATGTGTTTTCCTATCATTATTAAAAACATTTGGATATAACTTCTTAAACTTTTTTAACATACTTTGAACTTCAACATGACTCAGAACATAACTTGACTTATTAGTTGACAATTTTAGACTGTTTGGGGAACTAGGATTATTGCCTGTTGTAGGGTTATCGTTTTCCCTAACTTGACATATTACAGGTAAATTTAATGACTCCTTTTGTTTTTCAAAGACATTTCCATCTATACCTTGGTTTAAACATACCATCTGGTCATAATGGGTAACTGACTGTTGCTCCTTTTCAACCCTCCCTGACACATTGGCTCTGTTCTCTGGCTGAGACCTTGACTTTTTGCAACTGACGACCGATTATAATCATTATTGACATTTGGGATTGACTTATAATTCGACCTAAAACACTTACAATGATTATTTTCTTTCTTAACATTAGGCATTATGTTATTTTTGACAATTTGACCAAAATTAAACATTGATCTCCAAGCTGGTTTAAGCTTATCCAACCAGTTTCTACCTAACAATGGTTTGAAAGATTTACTAGTTTTAACAACAATTAGAGGTAAGCATTCAAAATAATCCTTACTTGACCTAACTTTGACAATAATTTGACCTTTGACTAACAATTTATCTCCTGAAACTGTTTTAATTGATAATTTGCTAACACCTAAAGATAAGTGTTCAAAATATCTAACATAATCTTGTTCAGAAATTACACTTACACTAGCTCCTGTATCTACTTCCATTGCAATGTTTTTGTTTTCAACACAAACCTGAACGAGTTGACATTTGCTGGAAATTTTGTTAATAACAATTTTATTGTATATTCACACAACAAAAGATGTAATTTATAAATAATTATTTATTATCAAAATTCATATCACACTACAAAATCTGGCCCACGCCATTACCCGACATCCTATTCGTGAAAAAACCCTAACTCTAGAACCTCAATTGCCAGTACCCCTCTAGGCACTGTCAATTGTCAGGATCCTGTTAAGGTGCATTCACAACGTACGTAGCATATATTACACGAATTATTAAGCAATTTGCAACCAACTATATCTATTAAAGGTGTTGCGGAGATCAAACACGTCAAGTCTATGGGTTTGAATTTGAAATGATTTTGAAGAGCTAAAATATATGTAGAGATAACGTTGTTATACGTTGTTTTGCGTGCGTTTATTCGTTATATGACCTATAGAGATACAAAATCAAAATCCTATGCTTTCTCTTATGGCGCTTCATTCTGGTCATGAAAGGAGAATGAATGTAGAATTCATCGACAAAGAAAATTAAGAGATGATGGAATACCAACAGGGTACTAAGCCGTATTTTCGTTAATAATAGTTTGTTCTCAACGTGCAGCACATCAAATGAAATGAAAAAGAATGCAGAATCACAAACAAAGATGATGCCAAAAGAGCACTGAGCCGCATCTTCGCTAATAATAGTCGCATCATCATGTGTGTCACATCGAATGGAAGGAATGCAGAATTTATTGTCATAGAAAAAACAAAGATGGCATGCAATACGTCAGAAGGGCACCAAGTTACATCTTCGTTAATAATAGTCCCATCCTCAACGTGCAGCACGTTAAATGAGATGTTGAATTTATTATTAGAAAGAAACAAAGTGACATCCAAAAGGACACTAAACCGTATCTTCGTTATCAATAGTCGGATCGTAACGTACATCACGTCAAATGGAAGAGAAACGTATGCAGAACTCCTCAACAAAAAAACAAAGATAGCGCAACATGTCAGAAGTGCACTAACCCGCATCTTCGTTAATAATATTCGGATCGTCAAGTATAGCACGTCCAATAGAAAAAAAAACGAATGAGAAATATATTGACAGAGAAAACACGAAGATGTCGAATCATATCAGGAGGGCACCAAGCCACATCTTCAAAGTCAAAGTCAAAATATGCTTTATTGTCTGAAGATTCATATCTTATTGACAAAGCTTGGTTGAAATAACTAGATGAAAAACAAACAAACCAAATTACACATATTAGATATCGCTACTTAATCATATGAAACTATAAACTATACAATAATATACAATTTCAAGTAGATACTGAATATATGTATATGTAACAAAATAGGACATGAAAAGATAACAGAAACAGTTTGTTTTCACTCAGCACAATACAATACTTTAGGAAAATAGCCAGTAAAAATGTATTTTGAAAATTTCCTGGTTTCTAAAAGAAATAAACGAGGTACAGTAGGAATTTTCTGACTGATGTATCTGACAGCCCTTCTTTGTTGAACGAATACTGTATTTGGAAGTAGCTGACTACAAAAGCCCCAAAAGACAATTCCATATCTCAAGTGCTACTCTACCAAGGAAAAATACACAGTTCTGGCTGAGGATTGATTGATTCCGTTAGAAACAACTCGAACTGAATAGCAGCCACATGCTATTTTTTTGCACAAATTTGTTATATGCTCATCAAATTTTAATTTATCATTTATAAATACTCCTAAAATTTTTTTGTGAGTTCTGTTGACTTTAGCGTGATTTTCTATAAGTAAGTCGTCAAAATGGAGTTTGAAGCAAACTATGTATGTTTTATTTGTGTTGAAACACAAGGAGTTCAAATTGCAAATTGTTTAAATTTGTTTCATTTTGAAATATGTCACCACTTATTTTACTATAAATACGTCCTGCGTAGCGAAATGAGATAATTGTATCAGATGAAAGTGATACCAGTGACAAGTGAACCGATTCTATTTGAAAGTAAGTGTTTCAGATCTCAGTAGTTTTCATTCTTTCAGTCTATAGTTGCACAGTATGAGACTAGTAGTCGTCGACATCAAGGAGATTGCCATTGAGATCGGTAATCAATGGAACAATTTTCTGCTTCTACCTCCATAACCATTCTCCTCTTTGAGCTAAGACGATAGAAAAGGCGTTGTGTATGTGGAAAGGAACATTCATGGTTTGAATTATTATTCAGGCTTCGTGCAATATCATGTACTGGATAGCATCCTCAAGGAATATCTACATGATGTTGATATCATTTATATGCGTGGTCATCAGAAGAAAGCCTTTCTGGCTGGCAGACTGCACATATTCAATATATACAACCATTGTGAATTTGAAAGAATTTAAAGATTCATGGTAGTGTGTTCCAAAATTGGAGAAAAACACGTCGCTCTGTATGAATCATTCCAGAGGAAATTCGTTCACCTGTAGTCTCAATAACGTTGATAATTTATATGGATGGCTTTATGATATACTGTTGTAAATCATGCCCGAAAGAAAATAACGCCGGTCGCCACTGGTAACCATAAACCATACGTGACGTAGCTAAGAGCGCGCGAATGTACGATAATTCCCCAATAGTCTAGAAGCAGCGAGAATAATGCTACCGACTTTGACGGAACTTCGGCAATTATGATATTTAAAGGCTAGTCACGAGAATATTGAGAGAGTCAAGTGGAAGCTACAGTGCGGTACGCGAAGTGATCCAGTAAGGCGATAGACATTCAAATAATAGTTTTAGTTGAAGTGTTTGTTGATTTGAAGTGAAATAAAATTGGGTTTGATTATTCAGTGTAGTCAATTATTGATCAACCTACGGGGCAAAACATAACAATACTATCAAAATGAATAAAATGTATGTCACGCACATCTTTTTTTGGAAAATTAAAATTTATCTTATATAGGGAAAGTTGTCAAAAATATGCAATAACGAAAAATTATACACAAGGTTTATAGTGATAAATTAACATCATGGTGAATGATTCAAGGTTGGTGAAAAACAATTCACATACAAAGGATATTTTAGAAATGAAAAAAATGAGTTTGTGAATTCCAATTCTGATTCGTTTCAAGAAAAGCTATACTTTATATCTTGAATTTCATTCAGGAAATTATTATAGATGATTGATATCAGACATTTGATTTCGATTACGATATTTGAAAATTCATTTCGTGTTGTGATTTTCATGAAATTCCCATTCAAAATA